TTCGACATCAAGAGCACAAATTACATCGTGAATCCAACAAGTGAGTACACAATTTTTCAGAATAGGAAAGGTGTGGAAGAGCATAACACAGATGATCTTTCTGACTTGAACAATGTAAATTCTACTTGCATCAAAATAATGATAAATAATAATACAAATTTGTGTTATTCTTTATTGTATATCATTTTTATACCATGCACAACTCATACTTAGTTATATATTTTATTCGAAATGATATCTTTCAATTTTCGGATGAAGAATCGAGTTTTTAATTAACAGAATTGCTTGGATAAATAAAATTTAACAGGAGGCAAATACCCTTCTATTTCTTTCACTACCTTCTTGAAAATATAGCAACTATGTTATTTTTAATCTTGGTACTCAGTGTGGAATTTGCTTCATTTCCACTAACGTGGAATCAATTGTTTCGGGCCTCAATTTTATTCCCGATATATATTAATCACGTATGATTGTATGATTCTATAAAAGGACACCATATGTTGTACTTATAAACGTCAATGATCTAAATTCATAATGTTGATGCATGAGAAAAAAAATGACACTGCTAATGGTGGAGATAATGGATCCGGTACTAGAGATGAGGCTGTTGTTGAGAAGAAGAAAGACATTGTTCATCATGAGAAAGATATAAAGATCGAGATTGGGAATGGGGATGGGAAAAAGACAAATATTGGACATTGTTGATACCTTGGACGAGGTAAATTATACTCCAATGAAAAAAGATGCTTTGTATTAGAAAATATTTTATTATTAATTTTTATTGCTCAATTAAATGCGGAGAAAAAAAGATAAGATTATTGAAAGGCAAGAGAATAACTAAGAGACAATTGATGATGCAGATAAATGTGTCACTAACGAAGATAAAGACATCATGATTAGTGGAGATGATGATGTTGCTCATGAAGAAATCGTGCAATAATCTTAGATGATTAGGAGTTATTAGAAGAGTCATTTTAAATTGTCTTTAGAAGTCGATTCCCTTGCATGAGGGTTTTCTTTTTATTTTTATAAAAGAATTTATTCGATTAGTCATTAAAATGTCGGAAAACATTATAATGTTGAACCTTTTAAATTGTTGAAGAAGGTTTAGAGTATTTGATTAGTTAAGATTTTCTTATACGAATGAGTATCTCGAATGAGCACTTCTACTATGCTATAAAGTATTGGTGCTTTAAAGTACAACTGAAAGTTGTACCATAATGTTAAATGTATAAGTTCAGGTTGTACCATAAAGCAATTTGTACAATTATGTTATGGTACAACTTCACAACTTTCAGTTGTACCATCACATAAAGGTACAAGTTCAAGTTGTACCATAAAAGAATTTGTACAAAAAGTATATGTACAATTTGAAGTTGTACCATCACATTAAAGGTACAATTTCAAGTTCTACCATAAAGGCAAAAAGTATAGGTACAATTTAAAGTTGTACCATCACATTAAAGGTACGCTCTCCCCCAGCACAAAGAGTTCAAGCGGAGATCGGTTGGAAGCTTCCCCCTCCGGGATGGTTGAAACTTAATGTTGACAGAGCCTCTAAAGGGAACCCGAGAGTGGCAGGAGCAGGTGGAGTCCTAAGGAGCAGCGACGGTCGATGGGTTGGAGGCTATCGTGCTAGTCTTGGATCCTGCTTGGCGGCGATGGCTGAGTTGTGGGGTATATACCACAGTTTAGATATTGTGTGGAGACAAGGGTGCAGAACTCTTCTTGTTGAATCGGACTTGAAACTGACTATTGAACTAGTGAACAACAGGACAGACCCCCTACATCCGTATGCTACATTGTTGGCGGCCATTCGATGTAAACTAGCTCAGGATTGGGTAGTTCAGCTATCTCATGTATACCGGGAAGAGAATAGAGTTGCAGACTGGCTCTTGAAGCACAGTCTCGTCTATCCCTACGGTGTACATGAGTTGTCGAATCCACCGCAAGTCTTGATGCCTTTGCACAGAGAGGATGATCAAGGAATTACCTTCACTAGGGACATAGTCCCTTCCCCCTACCTCTTCTCTGTAACCTCTCCCCTTTGTAATTCGTCTTTTCTTTGCCTGTGCGCCTCCTTCCATGCAAAAAATAAAATAAAATATATATGTCAATAGATGGAGTTAATGAATTGTTGTGATTGTGTGAATTGAATTAGTCTCTTAGCAATTATCATAAGTTGAAAAGACATTCTTTTCAAATTTCATCTAATATATTGTATGAGTTTTATCTAAATTGAGCTTTCATAGATCATGGTCTACAATGTACAAATACAAATATATAGTATAAGAACAATATTGAGTTTTATTGTTGATGAGCCTAAAAGGAAAGAATGTTTGGTTCTAGAGTGGTTATGTCAAGTATTAAGTATGTGTATATAATATATATTAGAATTCGAGATATGGATAATTATTTAGTTGGTTAATTTGGTTTCATTAGTTAAGAGTGTTGAAACCAAACCAAACCACCTAAACCAAACAAGCTAAAATTGTTAACCAAACCAATTATCCAAATTAACCAAATACTACCGGTTAAACCGGTTACTACGGTAACCACACCGTTTGAACACCCCTATAAGAGAGGGATATTAGTGACTTTTTAAATTATAGCAGGGACATATATGGAAAGTGAATGGATAAATAATGAGTTATTTGTAAATGACTTCTGAATATGAGACATTTGAAAATACTTAATAAAGTCAACTAAGATTTTCGTATTAATCAAGTAACTCATACATTTTTTCACTAACAAACGAGTCAGCTTGTACCAAATAATTTAATTGAGTCATTTAATACCAAATGATTAATTCAAACCACCCCTTAGTGTGGTAGCATTATGCAAGGAAAGATTTCGACGAGTTCGTGGTGAGCAGCCTAGACCTGCCACAGTTCTCTGCTCGCAGGCGGTTTGCAACTTGCAATTTATAGATAGTAATCAACAAATGTTAAGGGCCGATCTGATTAGTTTGTCTATTAATGATAGGTTATATAAGGTTTTGAAGATGTAGGTGATATAGTAGAGTAATTTGTTGTATTGCGTACTGTTTCTCAAAAGAATACTCTGTTCTCAGTTCCTTATATAATTAAAAAATTATTAGAAAAATAATTTTTTTCCCTCTCTCTCCCCCTTCTTCCTTCCTTCTCTTGCACCCTAATTCGGGATAAGTCGAAATAGTAATTTTGCACCTCCTATTGTTATAAATTATCCAAACGGGTACAAATGGGTTGGAAACTGTGTTTACCCTTCTCATTTGCACCCTCTTCCCAAACATATTGTATATCATGAGATGTAATCCATGCTTTGCATGTAAGGCAACTGATTCAACAGAAGAAGGGGGAAAACAAGATTTGCTGCATTTTTATTGATAACATTAATGCATGCCGTCCAATAGTTGAGATTTGCTCCAGTTCCGTTGTGACGCCTAAACAAATAAATAAAGCATAAGATTATGAGCAACAAGTAGATGACCGGCTCAAATAGAAAATCACTTCAACCACTATCTGGGGAATATGATACAGACATATTGAGCTAAACAAAAACTCTATTCATCTTATGTATATGCTACATTTTTTTTTTAGCACGAGACGTAAAGAAGAACAAGATAAGTAGAAAATACCATCAACAATGTCTAGCGACAAAAGAAACCACACTAACCCAAATTCAAGGGGTTAATTGCATTGTTGGTCACTGCGATTACTAAAAACGTTCATGTTTGGTCACTCGAAATATTTAAATCCATTCATGGTCACTACATTTAGTAAGACAATCCAAATTTGGTCACTTTCCGTCCAACTCTGTTAACTTTCGCTGGTGTAGCAGTCAACTCTCATAGTTGACCGTTAAATCTGTGACGTGGCAATTAAAAATTAATAAAAAATTAATTTTAAATATTCCACCTCATTATCCCTACTATAAAAAATTAAAATTACTCATTTTAAATACCTAATGAAATAATCTCACCCCTCTTTCTCACCTTCTCACCGTCGACTGAAAGAGGGGGGCGGCCGAATCGCTAAACGTAAAGCAGAGAGAGCTCCGCCGGCCAAATCTATTCCATATCATCGTCCATGGCCGCAGCTCGCAGGGCTACCGCTTCTCCACCATGTCGTCATCCTAGACCCCGCGATATCTCGATTCCCCTCCCATCTACTCTTTCACCTCTGGAACTGTGACGGGACCAAGAAAGTAACAACTTGAAAACCCAGAAGAAGAAAAAAATGATCTTCACCTATGGCTCCGTAAAGTGGTGGAAGATCTTCACCCCGCACCAGCGATCCGTAATCAATCGATTTGTCGCCCTGTTTGCTACCCCGCTCCTCTCCTTTCCACTTCATCTCCACCGACACCCTCCAGAAGATCATCATCCTCGTCGCCTGGCCTTCTTATTTGAGTTGGATTGCCAGATGCTCATAGCCATGATTGAGCAGAAAGAAGTCGATCATAAGGAAAATAGTGGAATTTGTGAGTTCGATGTCTATGAACAAGTCTTTCAAGCGACAGAGAAGGCAGATCTACAGATCTAGTTGGAGAAGAGCTAGGTGTCGATGTATCCGGAGTGGAAGGCGGAACAGTAAAGACTAGAAAGGGAAGAGGTAGAGCAGGTCGTTGGGTTCGACTTTGGAGAGGTCGATCTCTCAATCGCCAGAGATAAACGTCTTACGGAGGCGGCGGAAGATGAGGAGTAAGGGAGGAGGAAGACGATATGAAATAGGTATGGAATAGACATGGACAGTGATAGGGAATCGATTTGGCCGACTTAGCTCTCCCTATTTTAGGTTTAGGAACCGACGCCCTCTTTCCGTCGACGGCGGGAACGAGGGTGAGATTAGTTCATTATGTATTTAAAATGAATAATTTTTAAATTTTTTATTTTTTATAGTAGGGATAATGAGGTGGAATATTTAAAATTAATTTTTAATTGCCACGTCACAGATTTAACGGTCAACTATGAGAGTTGACTGCCACATCAGCGAAAGTTAACGGAGTTGGACGGAGAGTGACCAAATTTGGATTCTCTTACTAAATGTAGTGACCATGAATGGATTTAAATATTTCGAGTGACCAAACATGAACGTTTTTAGTAATCTCAGTGACCAACAATGCAATTAACCCCAAATTCAAGTATATAAGAAAAGCCCAGCACCAAGCAGAGAAACCAAACCAAACCAGTTCTCTGTTTCACTAAATACCCTTCCTCAACCCTACTTGATGTACTGAGACATCCACCTGAAGCCTTCTCCATAACCCATTTTCCGGACGATGCTGCACATGAACACCTCGAGCGGCCGAACATTGGTGTCAGCCAAGTTAACTCTGCCCTTCCCTGTCGTGAAGTTGGTGAGGCCCATGTGGTAGCGAAGCTCGTCTTCAGAGGCAGCGTATGGTAGGTCGATCTTGTTCCCGAGTATCAGGAATGGGACGGTGGCCAGTGACTCGTCTGAGAGGAGTGCATCAAGTTCCTTTTTGGACTCGGCAAATCTTTCCTTGTCGAATGCGTCTACCAAGTACACCACTGCATCCACCTTCACACACGGAGAGAATTGAGAGTATAATGATGCTGTACAAACATATATGAGCGGAGTTGTAATGCTAGAGACCCTATGAATTTTAACTATCCCCAACTCGATCGTTAAACATTACTTTATTTAAGCATCAAAATGCAAAAAGCTGTTAGAAATCAGTGAATTCCTGCTTCTGATTGAGCAGATCCATACAATTATGCTGTTAGAAAGACCAAAGAACTTTTACCATTAATACAGAGAAGTTAGGAGCCTAACTCTAGTTTACTCATTAGCCGCCTCTTAAGTATCAGATTATCAAAGTGCCTAATCCTTGTTACTTGTTAGGTGCCTCATCTGAAGAAATTAGGCACCTCCTCTTGTTTACTTAACTCTCAAGTATCGGATAATCAATACGCCCATCCAGTCTCAAAATCCTGGCTCCGTCCCTGACGCCTAATCCTTGTTTCTTGTTAGGTTTCTCATCTGAAGAAACTAGGTGCCTAATCCTTGTTTACGACCTCTCAATTATCAGATGATTAAAACGCTAAACCACTCTAGAAAGCATCTAAAACAAGCACAAGCATTTTAAGTACAACTACCACTGTAGGAGTACATGCAACAAGCAGAAGAACTCCAATACAGCACCTTATATAAAAAAAAAGAACTCCAACACAGCAAACAACAATTACACTAGTCCTATGAACTGATAGGTTTATAATCCAAGAGCTCATCATTCATTCTTTTTCATTGAGCTGAATAGGAGAAAGGGGTTAAACCTGAGTATAATAATCTTTCCACACTCGGCGAGCAATCTGATGACCACCCAAATCGAAAGCTTTGAACTTGATTTTCCCAATGCTTAGCTCTTCAGAAGTTGGGTACTGGGTCGGCTGGTGCTGAACTAGCCTCTGCCCAAAATTCACCAAAACACGATCAATATAAACCCCATCAAAGCTTTTGACTGTAAAAATCGACATTCAGTTACAATTTATGAAAAACCAATTTGACCATATTCGTCGAAATTGATCCCCTTTTTCGTTCAATTGAATTTTCTCGGCCAACGAACAGGAACAATTCCAAAGCCCTGTAATAAACCAGAATACCTCATCTTTCAACATGTGAAGCAGGGTTGTCTTCCCGGCATTATCGAGACCCAGGAACAAGATCTTCGCTTCCTTCTGCCACAGACCAAGGGAAGCCAGAACTCCGTAGAACCAATCGATCAGAAACATGGCACGGTCTCTGAATTCAAAGCCAGCTGGCGAAGGGAAAAAGTCCAGAACTTTCTTCAACAGAACTGAAAGGAAAGAAAACCACAGAGAGAGAGAGAGAGTGGGGGAGGGGAAATGGAAGGAATCGAGCGTGTGAGATTATGAATAGGGCCTTAGGTGTGAGATTATGAATATTGATGGCAATGGGGCGGGGCGGGTACCTCAATTCCCATGCCCCGCCCCACGCTATTACAGGTCGGGCGGGTAAAACCCGTGCGGGTACGGGGCGGGGCGGGTCGACCAACTCTTACATGTTGTTCAAAAAAAATACAAGTAAATTTTACTTTTTACAATAAAACGTAGGGAAAAACACTTTAAGAATGAAAAATATTGATAATAGAGTGGATAATTGAACCTAAAAAGTTGAAAGATCGACTCTAGCTAGTTGAAGAAAAGTCAAAATTGGAGAAATGTGTATAGATATTGTAAGAAATTGAGATAAAATGAGTCTAGAACGAGGCAGGGCGGGGCAGGGCGGGTCAGAAGTAGATACCCATGCCCTGCCCCACGCTACTGCGGGTCGGGTAATACCCGCCCTATCGCGGGTCAGGTCGGGTAATACCCGCGGGACGGGTTGAAATTGCCATCACTAATTATGAATAGGTTGAAGCCTGAAGGGGAAAAAGACAGATAGAAACAGTTCCCACTAGAAGAAGGATATTATTATTATATTAATTGTTAGCGTACTCTGGGTCGGGTTTCGGGCCTCATAGTGGCCGACGGTGGAGCGAGAATGAGATGCTGAGTTTCGGCGTCATCGGGTGAATTCTAACCGTTGATCTTAAACTCGACGGCTGAGATTTGAGATGACGTGACGGTGATTTTGGGCTGGGCTTTGTCCAGGTGGCAGAAGCTTTGCTCTGAATGTTGTGGGCTCTTATGATATTTTGGGCCTGAGTATGGTAACGGGAACAATGGGCTTTCAGACAATGGCCTAAATCAACAAACCCAATTGATTTAAGCAAATAATGACAACCCTCCAAAAATCGCAAGAGTACACATGATCTGCCAAGAAAAATTAGGAAATTTAAATACTTTATTCAGATCATAATAACCTTGCCATTCGAAATTAACACCAAAACCAACAAATAACTAACCAACCAAACACAAAACAGATTCGAAAAGTAAAATACTTTTATTTATTATTTTTATGTAACCATAACATGATAAATCCTTGCGCCAGCTTCCAGAACCATCGCCGTGACGTCAACCACCGATGCAACGAGAGTAGTACACAGGAGCCGGGTGCGCAACTTTCTCTTCTTGCTTGATGCGGCTCACCGCAGCAGCAGCAGGTTTGAGGGTCGCCGGAGGCGCAGCCTCTTGCTTGATAGTAACGCCTTGTTCCTGCTTCACCGCTACAGTTTCCACCACCCTGGGAGCAGCAACAGGGCTTGCAGCATGGAAACCAGAACTCCTCTGCATCTTTGCTCTCAAGTAGTCTTGATTAGCAACCAAGTTGTTATTATAGACGTGCTTGATTCTGTTCTCTCACTTTTTCTTTTGCCGATTAGCTGGGTTTGTGCTTGGATTGAAGAATAGAGCAGATGGATGGAGTATTTATTTATACATATATAGAGAAGGGAATGAAAGGGTTGTTGATGGATCAATGTTCATGCATGCACAGCTATATAACTTAATATGAACGGGGAAGCCAAGGAGTTCTTTTTGGTTCGTTGCACCATTTCTCAGCCATCATATACGCGCTTTTTATGAATGAATTAAGATGCCCAATCAATGGATATATTTGGATTCCAGATATTCGATTGATGCAACCATTTCCCAAGGAGAATTCGGTGCCTGGAAGCTATCAGCTTAATATTCCAGAGGAAAACTGAGGTTCGGTATGAGATGGACTGAAGAGTGTGGCTTGCGAAGGGTTGGTTTGTACGGGTAAAATCAAGCCGAACCAACTACACTTTCAGTTTGGACTCGATCATCTGTTTGGAGCCTTTTCGAGTGTTGTTTTTACTCGGGTTGGGTTCAGTTTGACTGAACTAATAATCGAGTGCCCATACCTAACTTAAAAGACTCTTTCATTATGTTTTTTTCCCCTACTTTTGTTATACGTTTCCATGCTTTTGATCCATGGAAACTCAAATTTCATGGTCATGGCTGTTAAGGAAGACCGGGTCTAGTGTCACTTCCTCCATTATCTCCACTCAACAACCTTCTGTTATTCTGTTTCTAATATTGCTCCCACTACTAGCACTACTGATCTTGTAACTATACTGTATAAATTGGCCATTGATTCATCAATGAAAACACACATAAATTCCCAACTCGTACATGGTATCAGAGCCGAACAGTCTCACGGCAAATTGAGTCTTCTTTTTTCCCCCCCACCCCCTTTCCTCCCTGATTCTTCTTTACTTCTCCCTCATCATGTCGACTTCCTCCTCCTCCTCCTCTTCTGATGCCACAGGCCCTATTCCCGCCGCCACAACTCCCCTCTCCCCCTTCAATCCTCCCTCAGCCCCTCACATCGCCACCAAACTCACATCTACGAACTATCTCCTATGGCAGATGCAACTTCTTTCCCTTCTTACAAGCTTTGATCTTTCAAAGTTTGTTGACGGAAGCTTCCCCGCACCGCCTCGTACTCTCGCTGGCGGCCAATCGAACCCTAACTACATTGCTTGGCGCCGTCTTGATCAACTAGTCTTTTCTTGGATCGCCGGCTCTCTCTCCGACTCTGTCCTCTCTCGACTGGTCGGCTGTTCCACGGCGCTTGAAGCCTGGACGCGTCTCGCCTCCACCTACGGCTCCAGCAACCGACAAACGTTACGCGGCCTGCGCACCCAGCTCAACGAGCTTTCTCGTGGTACGGAGTCTTGTGCCCATACCTTGCTCGTGCACAAGACCTCGCTGACCGCCTTGCTGCCCTGAATAACCCGATCTCCGACGATGAATTGGTTGATCGTTGCCTTCATGGCCTCAGCGACGAGTTCCTGCCATTTGTTCGCACCATTGAAATCAAGCTGGAGCCTTTCTCCTTTGCTGATTTTCACAGGCTCCTTCTCAACGAAGAACATCGACTCTGCCGCCGTAGTCCTATTTCTGATGGTGGTCCCGCCCAAGCAAACTATGGCCGCTATGGCGGGCGTGGCGGCACCCACCTCTATGGCGGCCGTGGGCGTGGTCGCCTTCCCGGACACGGCCATGGATTGAGATACAGCGGCGATGGCCGCCCCTCTTACCCCTCTGTTTTCCCCTCTTCTTTGCAGGACCAAGCCACGGAGCATGGCTACTTGGGCCCCAGGCCCAATCACCACCCACCAAATCCAAACAGTAGCATGCTCCAATGTTACACCTGCCATGGCTATGGCCATCTCGCCAAACACTGTCCCATCCCCTCTCTCACGTCCCGCTTTTCACTCTCGACCAATTATGCCTCCTCCTCAACCTCCCAAGATTGGATAATGGATTCTGGTACGAACTATCACATCACCTCTGATCTCAACAACCTCACTCTTCACTTCGAATATAATGGGCCCGACGAGGTATTCTTTGGCAATGGTAATTCTCTTCCCATCTCCCATTATGGTTCCTCCCTTGTCTCACTTAATAGTCACCCTTGTCATCTTAACAATATTTTTCAGTCGACCCATATAATTTTTTCAAGCAGACTGGGGCGGCGAATACCAGAAATTAGGCTCTTATCTCAAAGAAAACGACATCCTTCACCGCTCCTCTTGTCCTTACACTCCCGAACAAAATGGTTGCGCCGAACGCAAACACAGACACATTGTCAAAATCGGTGTTATAATCTCGCTACCAACAAAGTCCACATCTCAAGACATGTTCTTTTCGATGAACATTGTTTCCCCTTCTCGGATCCCAAATATCTCTCGGCCCCATCCACCTCTTCATTTCCCACCACCTCGTCAGGTTCCACTTCGCTCCCACTGCCTGCTGACCTCTTCCCCTTCTTTCCCTACTCACGCATCCAATCCTCACACCCTCCTCAGCCCACCCAGCCCCCTTCCACTTTGGCCCATAAACCCACATCCACCACTCCAGGCCCACCTTCCTCCCAGCCTGCTAACATTTCCCAGCCCAATCCCATTTCTAAGCCCACTGAATCCCCCTCACCTAGCCCATCCCCTCGTGCTTCCACACCCAGTTCCCCTTTGCCATCGTCCTCTTCCCCAACCAATCCACCGCCGCTACCAAATCCTCCCCGACCTCTTCTTCAATACCAACGCCGACGACCTGTCCCTTCCACCACAACTACCCCACCCATCCGGCCCGTTGTTCCCCTTCCCACAACGACCAAACCTCGCACTCACCGCCCTCGTCCCACTACCTCCGCCGTCCCACCTCCCCATCCCCGCCTTTCCCCTTCAATCGCTCCCCAGCCCCATCGCCCACCTTCTCGTCCCCAAACTCACCCACCCCCGTCTCATCATATGCGAACCAGAGGCCAAACCGGCCACCTGAAACCCAAAAATTTTCTTTCCACCTCCCGTCCTCTACCCCCGATCCCCAAAACCGCCCGTGAAGATCTGCAAGATCCCCATTGGCGTGCTGCCATGCTCGAAGAATACAATGCCCTGCTCCGAAACAACACCTGGCTCCTTGTCCCACCTGCAACTGATCAAAATCTCATCTCCTGCAAATGGATTTTCCGGATCAAAACTCGGCCCGACGGTTCCATCGAGCGCTACAAAGCCCGCCTTGTCACTCGTGGCTTCCAGCAGCGCCCCGACATCGACTTCGGCGAGACATACAGTCCCGTCCTCAAACCCACAACTCTTCGGCTCATCCTCTCTCTCGCCGTGTCACAGAATTGGCCGGTGCGTCAATTGGACATCGCCAATGCCTTCCTCCATGGCAGCCTCTCTGAACCGGTTTATATGCAACAACCGCCAGGATTTGTCGACCCAGCTCAACCCGACCACGTCTGCCATCTCCGGAAATCACTCTACGGCCTAAAACAAGCGCCGCGAGCCTGGTTCCATTGTCTTCGCCAAGCCCTGGAGTCCTATGGTTCAAGGTGACCAAAACCGATCCCTCCTTGTTCATCCTCCGCCGCGGCGCCATTCGCCTCTATGTCCTCATCTATTTGGACGACATTTTGCTAACCGGGAATCAAGGCTCCGGCTTGCACTCGCTTCTTCTCTTTTTGCAGGGAAAGTTTGCCGTTCGCGATCTCGGTCGTCTAAACTATTTCCTTGGCGTCCAAGCTCATTGGACTCCCACGGGTCTTCTTTCTCACACAACAAAAATACATCCAAGCTATTCTTGACCGAGCCAAGATGAGTGATGCGAACTCCATCTCCACACCGGCTGCCCCGGCCACGAAGGACCCCGATCCGACCCCCTTCAGTGACCCATCCTTATATCGCCATATCGTGGGAGCTCTTCAATACCTCCAGTTCACTCGCCCAGACATCTCGCATGCAATGAATTTTTTGCCGCAGCATATGCACAAACCATTGCAGCACCACTGGTCCGATATCAAGAGAATTCTCCGTTACCTCAACGGTACTTCTACCCATGGCCTCTTCTTCAGCAACACTTCTCTATTGCTTCTCTCACGCTACTCTGACACGGCTTGGTCAAACTCCGTTCTTGATCGTCGATCCACCACCGAATTTGCTGTCTACCTCGGCTATCATCTCATCTCCTGGTCATCCCGCAAACAGTGCACCGTTGCACGCTCATCCATAGAAGCGGAATACAAGGCCTTAGCCACTCTAGCTGCAGAGATCATTTGGATCGAGTCACTTCTCACTGAGATCGGCCAGCCACTTACCTCTCCTCCCAAGCTATGGTGTGATAATCTAGGTGCAACATACCTCACTGCCAACCCCGTCTTTCACGCGCGCAGCAAACATAAGGAAATAGACTTCCACTTCGTCCGCGAAAGAGTAGCTGCTGGTCGCCTGCTGGTTCGTTACATCTCCACTGAAGATCAGGTTGCCGATTTCCTCACCAAGCCTCTACCTCGTCAGCGTTTTCTACATTTCCGAGACAAGTTGAAGGTTATTCACCATCAACTTGCGGGGGCGTGGTAAGGAAGACCGGGTCTAATGCCACTTCCTCCATTATCTCCACTCAACAACCTTCTGTTATTCTGTTCCTAATATTGCTCCCACTACTAGCACTACTGATCTTGTAACTATAATGTATAAATTGACCATTGATTCATCAATGAAAACACACAGAAATTCCCAGCTCGTACAATGGCTAGGGTTGCTAAACAGTCCGATTTGATTAGATCCGGACCGGATTGACCCGATATTTTAAAATCGGATTGGACATATATACACGACTGAAGACGGGATTGGATTGATGCATGGTTTTAATCAAACCGGATTGGATGCAATACGGTTTGATCCGGGTTTGACCGAAAAACCGTTTTGGTCGAGAGATAGAGCTTCGTCGCTCGCCGTTTGCTGCATCGTCAGCATCATCGAGGGATGGAGCTCGATTGCTCCTTGAATGCGAAGGAAGATCACGAAGGTGTGAACGGAGAGGAGATGGAGGGGAGCATATCAATGCCGCCTCCGCCTTGCTTTGCTTTCAGTCGTCAATCGTCGCTGCCGTTGAAAGGTGGAGATCTTCTAGAGGGCAAGTCGACGAGAGAAACCAGGCACATCAGCGCTGAGAGGGAGGTGGAGGAGGTTACAACCGAATGGAGGGGGGAGATCAATTACGATTAGGGTTTGACCGAGTTGGTGGAGTTTGGAGTGGGCTGTCGAGCGCGGGCTGGGAGTGGGAGTTGAATCGCGGGCCTGGCCGAGTGGGCTTGTGAAACATGGGCCAGGTCAAGGGATGGCCATGGGCTAGTCACTAGTGTGCTGAGGTCTGGGTTGGGCTCAATTTATCAATCGATTTTAAACAGTTTTCTGGTTTTAAATCGGACCAAACCGGGCCAGTTTTTCTAAGACAACTAGCGACCGACAATTGGATTGCGTGTTTGGAAATCCGATTTCCGGTTGCAACCGGGACGGTTTAAACTACCCGATTTCCAATTCGACTTGAAAATCGGGACAGGATTCGCAGCCCTAGTCATGGCATTTATAAAAAAAATAAGTAAATATGAATACCAAACTCAAGTATTTCATTGATTATAATAGAATGACATAATTGTCCTTATTTATTAGCTAAATTACTTCTATAGGCGGCAATACACAGATTATGCACGCCTAACCCTACTCTTTTCGCCGGTATGTTCACCTGATATATGTAGTTTCTCCTAAACTCTGCATTCTGGGCGACTCCAAATTCCTTTATGCGGGCTAAGCGGCAACCTGCTATTTGGCAATGGAACCAACTCTTGTACTATTTCTAAATGTTTGGATAATAACTTTCTCACTTTCGCGTTTTATAAGATGAATTTTCAATTAATATTATTTATGCGGGAAATTAATAAGGGTATAGTTGAAAACTTTTAGTTTAATTCAATTCTAAATGTATACCAAATATGGTTTGAGAATTCAATTCATTTTATTTCTAAAGAATCGAATAAGTCATACCAAACACAAGAATTCATTTTACAATCAATTTTACAGAATAATTCATTTTAAATGAAATGAATTCTCGATTTATTTGGTACCAAACGATTCGTAGTGGATTTTGTGAATAATGAATAATAACAATTAATGGGACTTTTCGTTACCCAATACTCAAATGTAGTTGTTTTTTAGATCATTCATATGTGAGTAGTTATGTGACTAATTTAGGGCTGAATGGCTGACTTGTTTCCACCATCATTTTCTTTGTATATAGTTCTTCAGACATGTCTTTTCTATTTGCTAGAATAATAATTCATGTGAGTAGTTATGGGAATATAATTTAAGTTGCAACGTGATCGATGAATCTTTTTTGTCGTTGCTGTTAATATGATGGTTTAGCAATCAAGGTTGAATATGTTCGAA